GCTCTTATAAATAGTGCTACAGTAAATATGGGCGTGCAGACAGCTTCTCAAACTGAACTGCTAACATACATACCCAGCAGTGAGGTTGCTGAGGCATAGGGTAGTTCTATTTTCAGTTTTTGAGGACCCTGCATCCTGTTCCCATACTGGTTGCAGTAATTTCCATTCCCACCAGCAGTGTATGGGGGTTCCTCTTTCTCCACATCCTCACCAGCATTTGTTATTGCCTTTTTGATAAAAGCCATTTTAACTGGGACGAGGTGACATTTCATTGCCTAATAGTTTTGATTTGCATTTCTCTGATAACTAATCATGTTGACATTTTTTCGTACACCTGCTGGCCATTTTCACATCTTCTTTTGAGAAATGTCTACTCAGCTCCTTTCCCCATTTTTAACTGCATTATTTAATTTTTTCCTATCGAGTTGTTGGAGCTCCTTATACATTCTAATTATTAATCCTTCATAGATAGGTAGTTTGGAAATATTTTCTCCCAGTGGGTGTCTTTGTTGATGATTTCTTTTGTTGTGCAGTAGCTTTTTAGCTTTACATGCCCCAGGGCAATTATTTTGACCTTGAGCTCTCCCAGGGTGGTCTAGTTCATGTCAGCCTTGCCTCTGAACTCTTTCTGCAAGCCCAGGTGAATGCATGCATGCTCTCTGCACAGACGGGAAAGACGACAAAGCCAGAAAGTGTGGGCGGATGAGGCCCCCATAGCATACTTCCAGCAGCTGCCTGGAGCCCAGACTTTGACGCACGGTGTCCAGGCATTGAGGCAGTTAGGCACTGACTGAGGGAGACCTTCTGCCCAGCCCAGAATCCCCGCTGAGCACTCCACCACCACAGGCTTGCCTGCCATGTCACCACCATGCTGGCTTGCGGCTGTTGGTATTGCCCACCTCCCATTGACGGGAGGCCAGACTTGGCAGCACCCGTCAGATGTCACGGGCTGCATCATAGAACATCTCTTTCCCAGCCTGCCCTGCGATGCATTTGTCTCTCCTGGTTACACAGTAAGCTCCTGACAGCAGGGGTCTGTCCTGTAGTAGAGGCTAGAAAAAGTCTGATGAAGGAAAAGCTGAAGGAGCACAATCACGAGCTTCCTCACTGTCCCAGAATCCAGTAGTCCTGGGGTGAAGTCTCATGGCTGAGTCTCCTGTACGGCAGCCACAGGCACCTCTTTCTTGCGTGTGGTGATGCTCTGTCATGTGGGGGTGTGGGCAGTCTGACTTTACATATACGAGTGTTGCACCTCCCCATTCGGGTCATACTCTCCCTGGGGACAGGCACCGTCTTCCTCTCTTTCCTTTAATTCTGGGGCTGGGTAGATGCTAAGCACTCAGCCAGCTTCAGGAGAAATGGGTGGATGCACAAAAGTTTCATTTATTTCTTTGGGCCACTTATATTCTGAGACCTAGAACCTGAACACTGCATCCTTTCCAGGAGCAAAAATAGCACATCATCAAGGAGAAGTAAATGTGATTTGACCTTTCCTCCCCCTAAAAAAGTCAGTTCACACACTTCACCTGTCCGCAGAGTTCCACAAGGTCACACAGGAATCAGGAGCAGGAGGAAATCCCCTGACACCTGCCAAGGAGAACTGTCCCTGCCCACAAAGTTCACCTCCCACCGCCCCGCTTCTGAAACCCAAGTCAGACTCACACAAGCCCTTGCTATCTTGGGGCACTTGGTAAAGTGGCTTTTCTAACCAAGTCCATAGGTTTCTTGACAATGATCTCTCTTGGTAGCTATCATAGCGCTTGGCCGACCATCAAGCCACAGGTGCTACTGTTGCAGCTGCAACCCTGGCCCCAGCGTGACTTGTCATCTCTGGAACTCTCCAGGGGCCACCATGACAAACTTGCATCACCTTCATGATTTTAAGGCTGTGATAATCATTCTCCTCCCAGAACACGGAGGTTTCCTATTCTGAAGCCATCCTCACTCACATACCCAAGGAATCTCATTCCCTTGAGCCCTCGCCCTGTGCCTGAATTCTTCCTCCTTTGCTGGACCAGATGAGCAGTGGAAGACAAGAAGCCAGGACTCCCTCTGCAGCCCCTAAGGCAGAGGAGTGGACTTCATTCCAGGCTCCTTAATCCGATCAGATACCAACCCACCAGCCTCCTGGGCAGGGTCTGAGCTCGCTCCTGCCACCCTGCTCCACATACTTATTATTACTGCTGGCCGAGTGGGAGAGCACAGAGGGTGCAGCCTCTGAGGGTTCTCCCCTCGCCATCTCCAGAGACAGGAGGTGGGGACCAAGGCTTCAGGAGCCTCAGAACCAGGGTTGGCAAGCAGACACATGGATGGGGGATGGCTCTCTACCCAGAATGCTTAGACCCTCTGTGCAGCAAACACCTGTTCAACTTTAAAGAGCTGTTCCTGAAATACCTGCTTCTGGGAAGGCTTCCTTTACACCAGCACTTCTCCACCAAGTGTGTGCATCAGAATTCCCTGGAGGCCTTGGTAGCACTCCGATGCTGGCCCCAGCTCCATTGTCTCTGATGCAGTAAATCTGATTCTAACAGGCTTTCCAGAGTGTTGCTGATCCAGGGACCACACTTTGAGAACGGCTATCTCACACCATCCCTACCTTCCCAGACAGGCCAGCCCTTTCTTCCTGATGTGGATACTGACCTATATGGCAGTTCTGATTGGGCTGAAAGGTCATTTTCCAGAGTCTGTGCATTGTGCAGGGTGTATAAATGCAGCTCCATGCACTGGGAGGTGGCCAGGACACGGAGAAAGCGGTTTGAACCAAGGGGACTTCCCTGGTCCTGTGCCCCTCAGTGCTCTGGGGCTTGTAGGGAGCTCATGTGGGGAGGTACTACTTGTCATGCACTAGGGGGCTCAGGTCTCACCTGCCCTCCCAGCCTGGCTGGCCCACTGGAGGTGCATCTGGTATCCCAGCATATAGATTTGGGTACAGGTCCCTAAACACAAGCCAAGAATTGCACCCCAAGTGGTTCAAGACAAATACCTCATCTGGAAGTCAGCTCTCCAGGGGTCTCCATGGGGTAGTGCCCGGCAGGGTTGAACCCTAGGACTCAGAGCTCTCTGGGCTTGAACCTAATAACTCCTGACTGTCAAAGCACTGGCTGAGCCCAGGGAAACAATACACCTTTCTGGAACTTAGCTTCCATATCTGTAATAACTCCAACCTGTGTGGGAAGAGTGAGTTAAATGCGTGGTAAATGGGAAGAGAAGTACCTAGCACCTAATTGCTAATTGTTTTTAAAGGAAGAGGAAACAACAGTCTCTTCTCACCCTGGCTGCACTGGACAGACCGGCGTGGAAATGTTGGCCAGGGCAGTTCTGGGTCTTTGAGTTTCTCTAGCCATGCCAACCTGAGCAAGGCGCTATTCTTTCTTAGTGAACTGAGAGGTGCTTAGTGATTGGAAAGGTCTCGAACTCCATTCATTCATATGTGCATGCATTTATTCCTTCACTCAGTGAATGTTTACTGAGTACTTACTCTGCTGCGTACGAAACTGCAGACTGCACGTATTCACCCTGGACTGCAGAGTCCAGCGCGCACCTAGTTGCTGCACCTCCCTAAGAAGCACTTAGAATGCTGAGCCCTCCTCCCGGCCAGGCTCCGGGGGCCCCGCCCTGCCTGCCGGAGTACATCTTCTCTGTCCCTTTTCTGACTTGCTGCTGTGTTTTATCTTCTTTCCCACCTCCAGGCTTCCTGCTGGAGGAGCCGGGCAGCCTGGAATCTGTCTCCACCCCACCACCACCACCACGCCTGCTATCCCTCCTGGCAGCAGCAGCCAGCCGGGTTCTTATCAGAAAGGGGCATCTGGCTGCTGTGCTGAGGAGAATGACCTAATAGCCCTATAATTAAAGTGATTATCTGAGCAGAAATGATCGTTATGGAACATCCTTCTCTGTTTCATTACGCACAGCCATGGGGATGGGAACATAGGATTTCCATGTTAACACTAATATTTCCATGGTCTAACAGATCTTCTCACAAGCTGCTCAGGGAACATCTCTTACAGGAATCTCAGCCCTCCAGCCAGTCGACTGAGCTGTGGAAAAAACACATTCAGTGACTTGGATAGCACCACAGAGCCGTCCTTCCCACAAGAGGGTCAATGCAGGGACCTAGGGAGGGGCCTCAGACAGGGATGCCTGGACAGGAGCCTTGGGAGGGGCTTTTTTGAGAGAGAAAGACAGAAAATACACACCAGACTCAAGAGCACCCTAAGTCCTGGGCTTCCGTATAAGGAGCCTTGAGGTTGTGAGCACACCACCTCCCTGAGCCTTAGTGTTCTTCCTGCGAAATGGGATGATAGCACCAGGCCCCTCAGGGACTGCCATGAAGCCCACAGGATACTATGGATAAAAAGGAACCGACACCTGGCACTACGATTTGGATGTGGGTTGTCATTACCAAAATTCATGGTGAAACTGGATTCCCAGAGTGTCAGTGTTGGGAGGTGGGCCCAGCGGGAGGGGATGCCTGGCACATAGATTAATGCCTCTCCATGGGAGGGAGGGAGTTCCCACTCTCAGGACTGATAAGCGACTGGAGGGCAGTGGTTATGGAGGTGAGTTTGGCTCCCCAGACCCCTTCTTGCTTCCTTTCCTGTACACATGGCTCCCCTCCCAGTTTCCACCATGAGTGGAAGCAGCGTGAGGCCCTGGGCAGATGCAGTGGCACAATCTTAGACTGCTTTTCTTTATACATAACCCGGTGTCAGGTGTTCTAACAACAGGGAGCAGATGAAGACAGCTAGTATGAGCAGTGCCTCACAGTGGTCTGTGCTGGACACCACAGTCACGCCTGCCCTCATGCAGACCACAGACAACGGCTGACCCTCTACCAGGTGCAAGCCCAGCCTCAGTGTAGGGACACAGCAGCCAGCTCGTGCATGACCTAGTAGTGGACACGGTACACCCAGTTGCACCATACACTTCCTGTCCACCTGGGCCTGATCACAGAGAGGCTCACACGTGAGCTGTGAACCGAGGGTGCAACTCCAGCCAACATGCCGTGGAGAGCCCTCCTTTCTCACCTCAGACCCTTCTCTCTGTTCACAGATCCTGGCCCAGTAGCCCACAGCGTAACGGACATCGCCATCATCGCAGGTAAGCTCTCATTTTCGGGCCTTTCAAGTAGCCAGGGAGAACTGGCCTGAGGAGTTGGGTGGGGGGTGGCTGTCACCAGCATTTTCCCTGCCTCAGTGTTGGTTTTGAATGTGGAATGGGAAGTTAAGCCCTAATTAAGAAATATCCAGCCCAGTGTCCTGACAGAGGAGACAGAGCTGGGGCAATAAGGGTGAAATGAGCACCCCTGGCCCATGTGTCAGGAGGCGTCCCAGCTCTGGTGGGTGGCCTAGAGACCCATTAGAGCAACAGTGGCTCTGGAGAGGGAAATTTGAAGGTGATTTCTCCCCATCTCCCTCACATCACACTGTTGCCCACCCTGTGCCTTACACCCCCACCCCTCCACCCTCAAGAAGCCTGACTTTGCCCTCACCTTGCCTTGAACCCTGGCCAGGTGACTCCCTGAGGGTCATGACTGTGACTCCAAATTAAGGTTCAGGAGCAACCAGTTTTGGAAAATGCTGTATGCTTTGTGTTCTTTGAGATCCACACTTCTCGTTAGCTTTTTTTTTTTTTTTTTGCAGTTTTGGCCGGGGCTGGGTTTGAACATGCCACCTCCTCCGGCATATGGGGCCAGTGCCCTATGAGCCTCTGGCGCCACCCTCATTAGCTTATTAATAGTTCAGGGAAATTCTACATTTAAAAAAGTAAGAAAAAGCAGCAGCAGCAGGAAGGACCCCTGTGTGATTCGGAATAATGTGACATCCTCCAACCCTCTGGACTGCTGCGCTGGTCTTAGAGAATATGATCGCATTGTACCAACACAAGTGCTCTCTGAAGGCAGTAGGGAGTTTAGGGAATTGTTTTATAAAGATGGGACTTGGCAGCCTCACCACTACCCATGGTCCCTACATCATCTACATTCTAAGGAAACAGAGAGGCTGGTTCTGCAGCTTCAAAGTCAGTGCCCAAACTGAAAACAGCCCCAGTGAGACTGACATTTCAGCCCTTCTAACCCCTCGCCTGTCACTCCAAAGCCCTGAGTGGCCCAACACCCTCCTGACTGTCAGCAGAGGTGATGGGCCATCCCTCACCTCCAGCACACCCCCCGCCTTGGCACAGCGTCCCCCGCAGGGTCCTCCCTCTTCAGGCCTTCGTGTGAGCAAATCCTCCTGCAGGTCCGTGGGAGTCCTCCCTCCGCAGGGAGAACACAAAGCACACCTCGCACCCTCCCTCCCCACGGTTAGCAGCCCTGGTCTTTCTCCCTGTGTAGCACACAGAGCAGCCCGCGCTTCCCAGTCTTCTGGACGTTCTGGTTCTAGCATGCACAGTCCCCTGTTCCCAGAAGCCCTTCAGTGGGGACTGTGCTGGTTTAAAGGTGAACTTCTATGACCCATGGACCCCTGCAGTTTCAAGTCTCTCTTTCTCAGGAGACTGTGAGCACCTCTGACTAGGCTTTGTTCTGGGGCACCTACCCAGCCTGTCCGCTGTGATCCCCGAGGGCTGAGGAGCAGGGGAAGGAAAGGAAAGGAAAAGGGGGGGGAGGGAGGGAGACAAAGTGAACCGTGGAGGAGGGAGCAGATGAGAAGCTGGCGCACACCGGGCAGGGTGATGGGACCCTTCTGTCTGCTGTGGGTACCGACGGTCCCCAACCTTCAGTGGCTCAGCTTACAAGTTTTCAACTTTACAAAGGTACAAAAGTAAACATATTCAGTCTAAACTGTCCTTCAGATTTTGAATTTTGATCTTTTCCCAGGCTAGCCATATACAGCAAGAACGCACTGTATTACATGTTGGCTTTGTGTTGGGGGATTTTCCTCAACTGTCAGCTGAAGTCAGTGTCCCAAGGCCGTGTAAGATGGGTGGGCTGAGCTACGACATTCAGTAGGCAGGTGTATTAATGCATTTCTGACTTACAGTGTTTTCAGCTCATGATCGGTTTGTAGGGATGTGGCCCCATCTTAAGGTGAAGAGCATCTGTGCTTGTTACAGCAGAGTGTCTATCCTGACACCCCCCTGTGGGCCCCTGTCACAGGTGCCAGAGCCCCTGTTCCACACTGACCCATACATTTCTTCCCACCTGCAGGTGTGATTGCTGCGGTGGCCATCGTCCTGGTCTGCCTTCTCCTTGTCATGCTACATTACACGTGTCGGCACAAGGGCACATACCACACCAACGAGGCCAAGGGCACAGAATTTGCTGAGAGTGCGGATGCAGCCCTGCAGGATGACCCTGCCCTCCAGGACGCTGGTGGCAGCAGCAGAAAGGAGTACTTTATCTGAGGGGCACTGACCTCAGCTCCCCAAATGCCTCCTCAGGCTCCATCAAGGAAGATGCACCCCACTTCCCACTAGCACTACCAGGACCACCATGCAGACTGCAAGAGCATCCTCCTGCCTCTTCCTAAGAGCCATACTTTAGAACACTGGGTGCCTGCCCAGGCTGGAAAGTGGGGAGCTCCAGCTACATGAGGCCTCTCCCAGGACCCAGGGAGCCAGTGGCAATTCTGAAAGGCCAAAGAGGGAGAAAGTCTGGGCATACAGGCCCCCCTGGGCAGTCCAGGATGACATCTCACTGGCGTGAAAGTCCTTGCTGAGGGTGAACAGGGTGCATGGCCCAGAGGGCTGGGGAAGCAAGGAAGTGAGTCATTGGTGCGCTGCCTGGGGATAATGGCATCAAATGTCAGTCCTTGACATTTGGGGGAAACAGCAGGTGCCGGAGCTAAAAGGTACCTTTGTCTCCCATTGATATAGCTTGAAACGATTGGAAATAAATTTGACATGTAACCGAGCTTTCAGAGTCCCACAGCATTACCGTAGTCACCTGGGGAAGGGTAAACAGCGTTGGGGCTTGCTTCTCACCAGTGTGACTCCATGCTCCCTCGTGGAGTCTATTCATGGGGCTGGGACAGCCCCCTCCTGGCTCCCAAGGGCCAGTTCTGAGACAGCACAGGCGGTACAGCCACCCTGCACCCACCCAGGGAGGGGGAGAGGAACCAGTGTCCCTTTCCCCACACAGGCACCAGCTGCATGAGACAAATGGCAAAGCAGGACATCCCTCTAGAAATAGACAGTCTCAGGGTCCAGTGCACTGGCCAAAGCATCGATTTTCTAAAGCACAGTCATAGCAAAACTGAATCCCATAGACAAACTGAGCCAGCCCCATCCTCCGGTGATGGCAGTGGTGACAGCTCCCTGTGGTGGGGCTGGGCACAGACTCCAGCCCCGCTCCCATTCCTGAACCCAGGACTTC